ATATCTCTGTACTGATCATCGAGCAAATCTAATACAGTAGTAAAACTATCAAAACTACTGTTCCAAGTACGTTTTTTCGCTATGTGTCTCAACTCAGCATCGAAATGGTATTCCATCCTAAACAAATTCAAATGTTAGAATTTTCAACAAGAGATAATGGAATAAAGCATAATATCATAAAATTAGGTTAATTGAATTGTAACTACTATACGCAAGAAATAGATTCATTTACAACGACGCCAATAAAACAATAAATGATTTAATAAATTACAAGAGAAAAATAAAAATAAAAATAAAAACAAACAAAAAAATTAAAAATAATACTATAAAATCTAAAAATGAAAGAAAGAATTTTAAAAAGGCATTTTAAATTTTAAAAATAAAATATGATAAATAGAAAATAATTAAGAAGTTCAAAAAATTAAAAATAATAATAAATTAAATTAAATACAGATAATGACAAAAAATAAAAAAATAAATTAAAGAAAAATATTAAAATATTAAAAATAAGTAAGAATATTACAAAAATATTTTAAATTGAAAAACCTAAATTATAATAAGTAGAAAACAATTAAGAAAAATTTTAAATTATTACCAAAAAAATAAAAATTAAATTAAAAAAAATTAAATTCTAAAAATTAAATAAAGAATATAAATATTATTTATTTAAAATAGAAAAATATTAAAGATTTGTTTAAAAAGAATTTTAAATTGAAAGAAAAAAAATAGAAGGTGAAAAAAGAATTTGGTAATTTAGTAATTTGTTTAAAAAGAATATTTAATTTCATAATTTTTAATTTAAAATTCTTTTATATATTCTTTATTTAATTTTTTAAAAAAGAATTCAATTTCTTAATTTATAAATAAAAAAATAAAAGATTTGGGTCGACTGGCGTAAACTCGACTGTTAACAGTTGGGTTTGACAACTAGTAATAGTCGTCGTTTCATTTCTCTCGTCAGAAATCCCCCATTTCCAATGAGAAAACGCTATTTTTCAAAATAATAATAATAATAATAATAATAACAACAACAACAACAACAACACTTAAATCACTACTCCATTCAATAATCTACCTAAATAATGAAAAATAAACATTATAAATGTAAAATTTAATCCACAAATTTTTGAAACATCATAACTGAAAAATCAATCGCATAATGTGCAAAAAAAATTAATCTTGTTGAAGATAATGCCGCTAATGATTCGACTGTGTGATAGTTGGACTATGAGGATGACTATTTCGACAGATCTCGACTATTAGAGATTACATGAGTTTTTTTCTTTTTTCCTCTCCACTAAACACTTTGTACAAAGATGAGAGTATTTTTTATTTTTGGTATTTAACTCCACAATTTTAAATTTTAACTTATTTTTTTAATGGTCAAAGGCCATTATGAAATTATGATCGGATCAACAAGCCATTTTCTTGTATTTTCCCCTACACCGTGGAATAACTTAGAGAGTAGGGGGTATTTCTCCCCTACCACTACACAGTTGATCAGCTCGATTTCGTACAAAATAGGTGTTGGAGATTCGAACTCTAACTACCTTATATTTCAGCTTAAAGTTGTGTTTTGAGAAACACGATTTTACTTATTGAGCTGGGTTTTAGCTCTGTTGCATCTGTCTTCATTGCTGGCCGTTGGATGAAATCTGGACTGAGATATAAATACTTACTTGGATCGACTGTTCATCTCTCACTTTTTCATTCTTCACGATTAGGATTAGGGTTCAAGAGAGTTCTATGACTTAGGGTTTTCGTCTGATTTGTTCATTGTAAAATCCTTTGTGCTCTTTCATTATTTTCGAGTGTTAGCCTTAGAATACTTGATTTCCAGTGTGGAAATCTGCTAGAAGTTGGATTCTGTTTGCCGTGGCTTACGATAGTTATGATCTAGCGATTCTTGTGTAATTCAACCAAGATTTGTTGAATTCTTGAAGAGATAAGTCTCTAATATGTATTCTTTGTGTTGATTGAACTCCTTGTAACCTTCGTTGCCTATTTGAAGGTAATATAGTGCAACCAAGCGTTATTCTTTTGTGGATGCTCAACAGGGGAGTAGGTTTATACCGAACCTCTNTGTTGATTGAACTCGTTGTAACCTTCGTTGCCAGTTTGAAGGCAGTATAGTACAACCGAGCGTTATCCTTTTGTGGATGCTCAACGGCGGAGTAGGTTTATACCGAACCTCTGGGGTTTAGGCCGAAAAATCTCTTGTATTCATTTACTTTTCTGCAAATTTAGTTTTCTGTCGTTTTAAAATTCTTGTATCTTGACTCTAATATCTGTGGGTCTTGGCCGTGCAATGACAGCAATGATGTGGGAGAGGTAAGCAGAAGGATATGACACTTTTTTCTACTTTTTAAAATATTTTCTTTTCTATTTTTTTCTGAAGTTTTCATTTTTTATAATTTTGTAACAAAGAATATTAAAACAACAATTTTACCCTTTTAATTTTTGAATGTAGTGGTCAAATCGATTGACTAATGAAAAAATCAGTTGATCCATTTTGATAAATACTGCCTATTTTAAGAATATTGAAGATAAAAGTGCCAATAACCACAAATTTTGAGAACGGTTTCATAATTAACCCTTTCCATAGAGATGTTTGTAATCTTAAAAGACTTACGAGATTTCTTTGAGATAAATTTATATCATGGACACACTTTAATTTATTTGATAGTGTATTTTTTATAAAGGTTTTGTTTTACGTGTTCACTTTCAAAGTTTCTCTACTTAAAATCAAGGAATATTTGAAAATCCTGTGTATGAGAGTGCCATGAAACAAATTAGGGATACGAATTAATTTTTAGGTGAACCACCATGTAACCATATAGAGCTATTCAATTAAACCATTTTTAGTTGGCTTTTAGCTCAACTTCCTTCCAACAAACCTTAACCAGTCTTTCCTACTTGGTGTATAAATCTATACCCCAACTCTACCCCCGGAAACATCACAATTCAAGGTAGAGATGGCTAGCACGAAATCGCAAGCTGACGAACGCGCCAGAGCAGAAATCGTGCAAGGAGCAGAAGAATGTTACCAGCATTCCATCGAGCTGCTAGAAGAGCTGGGATTTCCCAGAGGTGTACTTCCTCTCAAGGACCTCGTAGAATGTGGACGAGTTCGTGAGACGGGTTTTGTTTGGATGAAACAGAAGGCTCCCTATGAGCATTTCTTTGTTGGGAGTAACACACTTGTTAGCTATGCAAATGAGGTTACTGCATACGTAGAGAAAGGCAGAATGAAGAAAATGACTGGTATAAAGAGCAAACAGTTTCTTTTATGGGTGCCAATAGTTGAAATGAGTATTGAGGAACCTGATGCTAAGAAAATTTATTTCAAGACTCCTATGGGAATTGGCAGGTCTTTTCCTGTTACTGCTTTTATGAGTCCAGAGGAAAATAAGATTTATCTGGAGAATGTCAAGGAGCCATGATGAATTAATTAAAGGGATCGTGAACAAATATGTTGTTACACTTTTTCTGCACTTCCATTTGTCATTGATGATTGCTGTAATTGATTTCAATTTCAATCGAGGTTTTTATGCATATTTGAAATATATTTACTCTATGTACTCTATTAAACTTATTTAGCATGTGCCGATAGAGCAAGTAACAAGTAGGATCTACGTTAAATATATTAAATAGATGAGAACACGAGTATCATAATTAAATGGCTATATTGCATGCACCTACGATATGCCACTGCTGAACCATCGTCCGTGAGAGCCCCCCGCATCCCTCACCTATGCAAGCTGTTAGAATCTTGTATCGAAAATTGGTTTTGATCAATTTTAAATGATTATTTAAGCGAAATTCGCTATTTAATGAATGAGAAATTAAGTCAAATTTTAGTTGCTTAAATGCGCAAATTGTTGGAAAAATCGTATAAAATATTATGAAATATTCTAGAAAGGTGTGTCTTTCCATATGAAAGAATGGGAGTCTCTTTATGTACAGAGATAAATTTCAAGAAATGCGTCCTTTTGTATGATTGTGTCTTTTAAGACAAATATTTCCAACTACTATATACAGACCTCATGTGTTTGGATTTATTAATTCAATTCATAATTCCATATCATTTCTTTTAATTGCATTGCTTAAAAACTTAGTTCGGTAGAGAGAGAGAATTTCGTTAAGAGTTCGTTGGTCTACGTAATTTGGAGTGCTCCTATTGTGAGACGTGGTCGTTGTATCTTGGGAGATGATTGATGAAAATCGTTAGCACCGATGCGAGGCAAATTCATCTTAAGACAAAGTGTCAAACACCTGCCTCAATCAATTCAATCACTTGCATTTCCTATTTTATTTTCCGATTTCTTTGAATTTGTGATTGATTTAAGAAAAACTAACCATTCTTTTTATCATAAGAAATGTTTTTTGTCGAAAAATGGAAAGACTTAAAATTCATCATCACGTATTCGACTTCAGTAATTGTCATTTCGTCTTCTCAAACTCTATTTTGGCAAGTCGAAACTATAAACAATTTTGCGCAAGTAAAAGGTACATTTTGAGAACATAATTCATGCATGTTATCAGTGTAATATCTCCAACAATCTTAAGATGAATTTTGTACTGTGCATATTGTATTTTATTTGCAATAGTTACATGAATAAAAATCCTAAGACAAATTTAGTTTGGCCATGAATGGTTGAAATGTGCGTGATTTAATCTACTAAAACTTATTTACAGATTTTTTATTTATTTATATGAAAGTGTATGATTTTCATGAGGTATCTGTTCACTCAATGATATATATTTAAATGAAGTGGTAATATATATTTGATAGTTTCAATGAATGATCACGAGCCTCATGATAGAACAGTGAAATTGTGCCTATTAATAAATAATTTGTGCATATGGTTTTGCGTTGAATCAGTTGATACACCTGTTGATTTTTCCCATTGATCGGTGTGCAAATTGGAGGAAAGATGGAATTTTGTGTAATTCTTTTGAACCGTGACTGTTCGGTTTCTTATTCTAAATTAGTTAATTGGTGCCTATTTGAATCTAAAAGGTGCAATGAAGATACATATCTTTTAAATTATGCATGCCATGTGAACCATTGTGCATGTTCATATTGGATTTTTATGCATTAATGTGATGTTTAAATCATGTATGAAATTTATGTGAAAATTGCTTGTCTCTTAATATGAAAATTCATGGACATACTAAAATACATGAGAATATTTGAATCGTGAATTTATTTGATATTCACTAATCGGTGCACGCAGATGTTTACTCTATTTTGAACAAAGTGCACTTGTATGGGGATAATTGTATGTTCCTTTAGTTGGAGAATATTTGAATATATTACTGACATGAAGAGGTATATTTTGATACCCACCCATATGGTAAATGGTGTTTCTCTCCACTATATACCCACACAAGGGTTTGAATTTTGAACTGATATTTTTTGGTCAAAAAGGCATAGTTTGCTGACCAAGTCTGTAGATAAAATTTGATGGCAAATTTATATGATTACCCTAATTGTTGGGAATGTTTTCTATAAGGCATAAGTGCTGCATATAGTTGGCGATGACGTCGAATATCCTTAGGATAATGATTGTAAGAGGACATTCATTTGTAAAAGACAAAAACTATGGTCCGCATAGATTGTATAATTCTTCTTAGAAGGAAAAGTGTTTTTGCAAGGGAATTTCATTGAAATACAAAAGTATGAATTGACTACCACTAAATTGAAAGTACTTCGTCTTTCACATTGCATTATCTATTTAATAGATGAATTGGACTTTGAAAGAGTTGATGAACTCTAAATTCAAGTATAACCCAAAAATGTAGGCAGGGGAGGGGATTAAACAGTAATACTTGCAAACTTTTATGAGAAGTTCAAAACTTGTAGATGCATCATTACTAGATTGCATATACAT